TAGTTGTGTAATCATTCTTGTTATCCAGGGGCACCATCATCACTCCACTCTTTCTAGCTTGGTTGGGGACATTCTATTTTCGGTCTTTGTTGGAGAAGCTCTATTTTTGAACTTCACTAGAGAAACTCTACTCTTGGTTTTCGTTGGAGAAACTCTACTTCCAAACTTTGTTGGGGGATTTGTTGTTAACCAACATCATTGGACATCTTGGAGCTCTATCGTTATTACCAACTCTCCTTTTCGACTTGGTTGGAAAACTTACACCTTCAGACTTTGTTGGAGAATTTGTTGTTGACCAACATTGCTGGGCAAAACGAGACGGCCTGTGGCATATAGCCTCTTGCACATGAAACGAGTGCTACCAAAAGGACCTTTTGGTAGGGTGTGCTGGTGATGTAGGTTGATGAGTTAGCAGTGGTGATGATGTGAAGGCTAACTAGGATGCCACCTACAAATGATGAGGAGGGTCCTTTTGGTGGCACCCGTTTCACGTGCAAGAGGTTAAGTGTCACGGGCCTTCTCATTCTACCTAGCAATGTTGGTTAGCAACAAATTCTCCAACAAAGTCTGAAGGTGTAAGTTTTCCAACCAAGTTGAGAAGGAGAGTTGGCAACAACGACAGAGCCCGAAGATGTCCAATGATGTTGGTCAGCAACGAACCCCCCCAGCGAAGTCTAGAAGTAGAGTTTCTCCACCGAAAACCAAGAGTAGAGTTTCTCTAGTGAAGTTTGAAAATAGAGCTTCTTCAACAAAGACCGAAAATAGAATGTTCCCATCCAAGCTAGAAACAGTGGAGTGATGATGGTGCTCCCAGGATAACAAGAATGGTTACACAACTATCAAAAATAATGAAAATGAAATGTATAATGCTGTAGGAGCAGCAAGAATAGAAAATATGTAAGGGTTAAAAATTACAACTTGAGAAGCACAATTTTACATAATATATTGTAGCACAATAGCAAAGACAATGAATGTGCCATTTATTATCCTTAATAAATACTTCTACTTTATAATAAGCAACCCTCACATTGTAGATAAAAGGTATAATGGTCTCCCTTAAGCTTTAACAAGACAAAAGGAATGAACTTGAAAGTAGTGATGGGAGAAGGAAGGATGACCATTGTGGGGGCTTGTGAATGGAGGGCTTGATCCCGTTTTTTATGCTAACTCTTCAACTTGATCCTTTGATGCATATGAAGATAACCCAGAAAATGAATCTGCAGTAAACTATCTCCCAACCATTATGTTCTGCAAGTTTGGAAATTGTTCAGCAGTGTTGGAAGTATAGAAAATATAATAAAAATGGTGGTTTCTGGATATTTTTTGTGTATTTGGGGAGAGGTTGAAGATGAAGGTTTTTTTAGAGGAAAAATGAGAGTTTTGGTACTTGAGGAAGAAAGTTGGAGCTGTGAAAACTGTTCCAATCTGTTGAAAAATGAAGGGAAAATAATATATATGTGCAGTGGCATTTTTGGAATTTCTGGGTTGATGGGTCATAGGTGCACAGTGGCCTAATGGGTAGATTGGGTGAGCTGTTGAGTTTTGGGTGGCTTTGAGCATTGCTAATAGCTTTTTGGCAGTGAAATTATGAATTATCCAATGGTTCCAACAAAGTACTGCCAGTTCCAGCGATGTACCACCAGTTCCAGCGAAGTACTACAAATCTGCTGAAGACTGTCCATTTTTAGTAACTCTCCAACCATACGAAATTCTATTTTTGGGGGGATAATTGAGTGCAGCTGGCAAAATCAGATCTGACCAAGATTTTGGTAGATTTCCAAAGGCTGCCCAAGATATTGGTAGATTGCCCAAGGTTTGCCCAAGATGTTGGTAGATTTTCCCAGCGAAGTCAGATTTTTGTCAACAATTCCCAAAACCATGGAACTTGTGCAACCATCTTTTACATTGAATACAGCTACAAGTTGCTGATGGTGACAAAGACAGCATATCTGGTTGGTTTTGAACAGGATTCCAAGCTTCTAGTTAGCATCAAATAGTATAATTTTGTGACCAAGCTCAGCCTCTATGTCTTCACCATCCAGCGCTTTTTGGCGAAGTCGCGCTACATCAACAATGCCAAGCTTCACTAGTGTGAATACCTCGCTTCCCCAGACAGGCAACGTTCACCCATCTAGGCTTACCAAGCCATTACTCCCATAGTTTATCCCGAATATCCCCATGAGTTTGGATTCATGGGTTTATTGATGACTTGCATAAAGGAATAGTGATTAGTTGATGAAAATGATGAAATTTAATAAATAAGGAAATAATAAAGGAAAGAGACTTCCTTATGTATTTTTGGCGATGTAAACATGTACTACAGCATCAGATATTGCTGAGCTTTTTGATAAATGCACGTTGAACGCATTAATAGGTGCTCAAATCAAGGCGGGTCTTCATGACATGGAAACTACCTAAGTCCAAATTTGACTTTTTACAAAAACATCCATTAATAACTAGTCACCGGTAATCCCAACTCATAACACATATTTTCTGTATTTTGCGTGCTAGTAGGTATTGCTGCCAAACGATGCTTGGCTCGAGACAACGATATCATGGCACACACCCATATCACTTGTTCTTTACCTTGGTGCAATGCTAGCCATGTACAACAGCGATATACTAGCACTCGCCAAGGCTAGCAAACAAAAGGGCACAATGAATATCCATACACATTGTCCCATTCAATACACAAGGGAGTTCCCTTCTTCACTACATGTATTTATGTATTTCTTACACTTAAATACTTGAACATATGTTCACATGTACCTTGTTGTTATTGCAGATAAACACAAGCCCATGAATCCAAGCTCATGAAAATTACTCAGGATAAACTATGGGAGTAGTGGCTTGGCAAGCATGGATAGGTGAACGCTGCTCATTTGGCAAAGTAAGGCATTTGCATTGGCAAAGCTTGTCGTTGGCGATGTTGCCCGACATCGTTTGAAAGGGTTGAGTGGCGAAGACATAGAAGCAAACTTGACTTCTGAAACAGTACCCTTTGATGTTAACCAGAGGCTTCAAATCCTGTTAAAAACCAACTAGAGATGTTTTGGTCACCATCAACAACTTGCAACCACATTCAATGCAAGGGTGGCTACACAAGTTCCATGGCCTTGAAAACTGTTCAAAAAGATTGTCTATTGCTTGGAAAATCTTCCAAAATCTTGTGCAAAGTTTGAGGAACCCACGAAATCCTGTGCTAGTGTTGTTTTCGCTAGCTACACTCGAGCACCTCCCAAAAAAGGAATTTTGTATGACTAGAGGAATTCCCAGAAATATGCAGTTTCCAGTTCATCATTGGAACTGGTGATGTTTCACCAGAACCATTGGTAATTCATAATATCATTGCCAAAGGTTATCAACAGCATCCAAAGCCACTCAAAACTTAAGAGTTCACCCAAACCCACCTGTACACCTCTGACCTATTAACTAGAAATTACAAAAATACCATTATCCTTATATATATTATTTTTCCTTTATTTTTAAAAGAGGAAGAATAGATTTTCCACTGAAAAACCTTGCCTCCTCACATACCAGACTTTTATTTTTCCCTTTGAAAACTTCTTCATCCTCAACCTACAACCCTACACACCAAAGTTGCCAAAAAAATCACCATTTTCTTCATATTTCCTACACTTCTAGCACTACAGAATATTTTCTAGACTTGTAGAACATCATGGCTAGGAGACAGCATGCTGCGATTCCAACTTCTGGGTAGTTTTTCTTGAGCATCAAAGGATCACGGTGCAGGGTTAGCATCAAGAACAGGAGCGAGTATTCCACTCACAGTCCCCAAAAGCGGTCATCTATCCTTCTTCCATCACCACTTTTAAGTTTATCGATGTTCGTCCTTGAAAGAATCTTAAGAGGGGAATCGTTGCATCCTTCATCTTCAACATGAGGGTTGTTTGTTATAAAGTGAAGATATTCACTAGAAATGATAGAGATCACATTTATTATTATTATTATTATGTCATAATGTTTTATGTATGAAGGTGATTCTCAAGTTGTAATCTTTGAACTTCATATATTTCCCATCTTTGTTGCTCCTTCAACAATGTACATCCTCTTCCCATTGTTTTTGATAGTTGTATAATCATCCTAAGTTCTTGAGCCTTCGTTATCGTTGTCCAGTTCTATTGGCTTGGCTAGAAAATTTATATTTTTTAACTTTGCTTGAGAGTTTGTTGCAGAACATCATTGTTGGACAAAACAAGATGGCCCGTAGTATGTAGCCTTTTGCATGTGAGACAGATGTTGTTAAAAGAATCCTCCTCATTTATTTTTATGGGTGGCATCCTAGTTAGCCTCCACACCATCTTCACTGTTAAGTCATCATCCTACATCACCAGCACACCCCAACAAAAAATGGCAACTCCACTAGGGAGGTCATCCTAAAGCTTCATCCTGTTTTGCTCTTCTTCAGTGGCATAATACCTCCAGTATTCTTCCTTAGTAGTATTTTTTTATCTTCAGTAGAATTTTTCTGGCCATGCTTATCACAAGAGCAATCTCATCTCGCATTGCTAATGGGAATCAAGAGCTTGGCTAGAATGATGGACGGAAGGTTCAATAGCCGCATCTATCAATAGATGCTTTTAATGACCTCTTGCAAGGAATCATCGATCCCAGCCTTGCATCCCTAGTTTGAGTTATCTAGGTCCTGCACGAAGACCAACAAAGGACTACTCAGCTTCTCACCAACACACAGACTCAACATGCTATGCAGGATCCAACACAACCAATCAATATGGCGAGGACATCCTAGCCACAAGAAGTCCCTAGTAGGGCTACCGATGGTATTGGAGGTTCTGTTGTGCGGCCAAACAACTCGGCACTACCAATAGTTAAAACTGCTAGTATTGATGAAGCTCCACCCAATGTAGCCGATTCTACTCAATGTTTCACCTCCATAACAGGTCTCACCATTCTTTTAGATAGGGAACATTTTAGACATAGAACATTCCCTTTCCAGTTTGTTCGTGACCCACCTTATCCAAAGAAGATTCTGTCCAAGCCTTATCAAGAGAAATATAAGAGCTTTGTGTTCCCGTAATATGATGGAAGGAAGGGCAACACTATGGAGCATGTCAACAAGTTCCTTGATGCTATGGGGGCTCACGTTGGCGATAGAGATTTGTGCCTATGTGAGTTCTCAAAGTCTCTCTCTAATAGAGCTTACAGATGGTACACCTCTTTGCTTCTCAACTCTATTCGTTATTGGGATGGGATGGTTGAACAATTTTGTTGAAAATATTTTCAAAGTGAATTGCGCATCACCATCCTTGATCTTCACAACACTTGCCAATGCACCGGTGAGGATTTAATGATCTATGTAAAGAGGTTTAAGGACTTGGCCCTTGATTGCTATGAAGGCCATGCTGAATCCTTCATGGAGATTTGCATCAACAACATGTTTCTGGAATATCACGTTGTCCTTGAAAACATCGGGATCAATTAGTTTGCAAGGCTGCTCGATGCTGCTTGAAGAACGGCCATTTCTGTTAAAGCCATCTCCATTGGAAAGTCTGTAGCGAAGTCGGCAAAAAGGAAAGCTACTGCTCACACTTTGGTTGTCTCAGTCTATGGCCAAGGACAAGGTCAAAAAAAGAGAGACTACGACACAGCATCACCACTGCCCATTCCTTTAACTATTAAAGAACTTGATGTGCTCTTAGATCAGTGGATCACTAATGGTGCCATCACACTACCTCAATCGCATCACAAGCCCAACGATGATGACAAGCACAACCCTAAGTATTGTCGCTACTATCACTTTGTCCATCATGTAACCATGGACTGTTTTTCCTTGAGAAGGATATATCATCGACGGGTTTCAGAAGCATTGTTAGAAGTGCCGAATAGAAGACAGAGGGTGGATGAGGATCCTTTCCTACTATATAACCAAAGTGTTGTCAAGGTTCTCACTCATGTAGAGAGCATTAGAGTAAGTGCACCAATAGTTGAATTCCTTGACAATGCACCCAACCTCTCTGTCCATGCACTTCAACGAACTCCAAAGTTCAAGATGTTATTTGAATAGCTTGGTTTCACTACCAAGGCACAACAAAGAGCCATGGAGGCCATACTCTCCATTACCAATGAGACTAGAGGAGAATGCCTTAACGTAGAAACACATGCCAGCCATGCTTATCTTGAGTCTTCCAATGCCGTCACATTCATTGACGAAGATATGGAGGTGCCATATCCTGACCATAGAAAGCCCTTTTACTTATCTGCTTAGATTAACTCTATTGGTGTTAGGCCTACACTTGTTGATACAAGATCCTCTCTCAACCTGATACCGTTGAGCACCATCATCATTGCAAGAAGCCCCCAACAAAGAATCGTTAGGTCTCCGCTCAGCATTGTTGGCTTGGGCAGCAATAGTGAGCATGCCCTTGGATACATTAAGCTTTAATTAAAGGTCGGTCCAGTCCAATACCAAACTACATTTTATGTTATTGATGCGAAAGTTTCTTATCATATATTGTTGAGACAGCCATGGCTGCATCAACACAAAATTGTTCCTTCTACTTATTATCATTGTGTCAAGGGCTGTCTAAATGGAAAGGTTTTTTGCATCTTTGCCAACCCGTTGCCATTTGATTAGACTAAGACCCATTTTGCTAAAGCTACTTTTTATGATGAGTTCACCCTTTTGGCGAAGCAATAGTATCTTGCCTAGGTGGCATTGTCCTACTAGCTTGGAACGACTCAAAGATAATCCTGATCTTGATCTACGAAGTGTCTTGAAACATAAGAGGCAAAAGAAGGAGGTAGGAAAGACTGTCTAAGCGTGTCCAAAGTGCACTCAAACTGTCTTTCCCGATGGGAGGATAAAGTATACTTTATAAAGGTGCGCGGGGCCTCTCGACCATGCGTGAGATGGCACCATCGCCAACAGTGTAGCCATGTCTTCGGATCATTTATTCTTCACTTCAAAGAGAGATACTTTAATTGATGAATGAGATCTCTCTAGCGAAGCAGAATGCTTCACTCTTGAGGCTGGAAATAAAATACTTACTGGGCATCTAAATTCTTTTGGCAAAGCTGATCATCTAGTACCGCTAAACAAGCTACCAACCCTTCATGAGGCTCAACCAGTGATCACTTCCCTGGAGTTCTTTGAAGCTATTGCTCTTAGAGATGATCTAGTGAACCCCAAACATGCACATATCAGTACCACTCTCTATTAACAAAAGAGCCAAAATGATTGTTCTGCTTCGAGAATATAAGGATGTTTTTGCCTAGAATTATGATGAAATGTTAGGGCTTGACCCAGCTTTAGTTGCGCATTCTTTAAACATTGATCCTAATATGAAACCAGTTGTGCAGCCAAATCGCGCCTTCCATCTAGAAGTTACTCTCAAAATTAAAGAAGAGGTTGAGAAGCTCTTGGCTGTAGGATTCATTAAGCCGACCCAGAAGCCTACTTGGCTAGCCAATATTGTGACAGTTTGAAAGAAGAATGGGTAGATTAGGTGTTGCATTGATTTTCGTGACCTCAACAAGGCATGCCCTAAAGATGAATTCTCTGTCCTAAATATGGATGTGCTGATGGACAACATTGTTGGTAGCAAAATGTACTCTCATATGGATGGCAGTAGCGGATATAACCAAGTCAGTATGTGCCCTAACAATGCAGAGAAAACTATTTTCCACACTCCTATTGGTAATTTTTACTATGTTATTATGCCTTTTGGATTTAAAAATATTGGGGCTACTTATCAAAGAGTTATGGTGGCTATTTTTCATGATTTCATCCACATATATATTGAAATCTACATTGATGACAATGTGGTGAAATCCAAAACAAGACTGGGCCACTTTGATGTGTTGAGAAAAGTCTTCGACAGATGCCACTTGTACAAACTGAAAATGAATCCAATGAAGTGTATGTTTGGCATCTTCGTTGGAAAGTTTCTGGGCTTGCTTGTGAGTAAACACGGCATTAGTGTGATATAGCCAAGTTTGAAACTATCCAAACCATGCAACCACCTAAGAATTTCAAACAATTGCAAAGCTTCATCGATAAGATCTCATACATTCGTCGATCCATCCCTTTTCTGACAGAAATTCTATTTGGCCCACTATTAAAGAAATGAGCTGCATTTCATATGGATAGTAGAGCAACAACATGCCTTTTCACATCTATAGGATCTCATGCTTAGATTGCCAACCATATCTGTCCCCTTCCAAGGCAAACCACTTAAAGTTTATTTGTCTACTTCTAACAAAGTTGTGGGATCGTTGGTCTCCCAAGATGACCAATAAGGCAACAAACAACTAGTTTATTATGTTAGCCAAAACCTTAAGGGTGCTGAGTTAAGGTACCCCTTTGTTGAGACAATTTGCCTTGTATTAATTTATATATCTCAACGTCTTTGACATTATTTCTTGGCTCATAAGATACAACTCATCACCAAGTCTTAGCCCATTCAGTACCTTCTAACACGGCCCATGCTCATTAGTTGTCTTGCTAATTGGCTTCTCCAATTGTCTCAATATGATATTACATGCATTAATCCCACCATGATAAAGGGGCAAGTTGTTGTAAATTTGCTATTTAAGTTCTTTGGTGAAGTCCAATATCTTATTTCTGACGAAGTCCCAAGAGGTGAGATTGTTGCTGCGTAGGAAATTGAGGAAGAATGGACATTATACTTCTATGGTTCTTCTACAGCTGAAAGAGTTGGGGTTGGCGTTGTTCTCAAAAATGACAAGGGCCATAACATAGTGTTTTCATTCAAGCTTGATTTTTAATGCACAAACAACATGGTAGAGTATAAAGCCTATCTTATTAGCCTTGCTATGGCTAAAGAGGTTGGTGTGTAGCGCCTAAAAATCATTTGTGATTTAGGTTTGATCCTTGGCCAAGTTCAAGGTTCCTTCGTTGTCCAAAAAGAACATCTCGCGCCATATCGTTCTTACAGCCACAACTTGGAGCAGTCCTTCACCAGCATAAGAAATGAGCAGGTACCACAGATGAAGAACCGATTGGCTGATTCCTTAGCCACAATCGCTTCAAAGGTGCCTATGGCCGAAAGTCCCTTTAATGTCTAGATTGTCCAGAAAGAGCAACCTTTATCATGGTTGTGAACTTGCTTTGCTCGAGCTGCCTGACCATGCTGATTGGTGGTACGCAATTTATAACGTCCTACCATAGCAAAAATCTGACGTGCCTTTGAAGAATTTATCCAACTATGTTATTATTTCTCGTGAACTATATTATCGCCTTCCCAGTGATATCTTGGCTAAATGTGCCAACAATAAGGAGGCTTATCACAGACTTAGAGAAATTCATGATCGCACATGTGGGCAAGATAGTCATGTGAACTTGTACCGTTAGATCCAGCGAGCAAGGTACTATTGGCCAGATATGGCTTGGCAAGCCACTGAATTCTAGCAGCAATGTGTATCCTATCAACAAAGTTATTATCAAAATGAAAAATGCTTCTCTTCTAACAACATCTAAGATTGGCACCACCCTTACATGGAATACTTCGTTGAGGGAATATGGCCAGAATCGCTAAAGGATGCACACAATTTGAAGAGATCATTGTCAAAGTTTTTTATGGATGGTGGAATTTTGTTTTGCACCAGCTTCATCACCTATCATTGACGGAATCTCAGAAAGTTATGGTCGAAATACATGCAGGGGAATGTGGCAAGCATCAAGGATGGAGAAAGTTGCATGAGCAGCTTTTAGCTCACGGCTATTACTGGCTAAGCATGAAGCAAGACACTGCCAATTTCATCCAGCAATGCCACACTTGCCAAGTTCATCTTAGTCTCATTCATTCCCATCCTAATTTATTACAAGATATGAAGACTCCTTGGCCTTTTCATACTTGGGGCTTGGATCTCATCGGCCCTATCCATCCCTCATCCGAGGGTTATATTTAGATATTGGTGGCCATTGAATATTTCACCAAGTAGGTGGAAGTTGTCCCTCTTCGCAAGGCTATAGGTCCAATGATGTCGAACTTCATCAAGGAATACATAATTTGTCGCTTTGGGATCCCATACAAAATTGTAAATGACAATGGAACTCCTTTTGTTAATCAACATGTGCGAAGATTGCTAAACACTTATAAGATCAAGCATTGGAAGTCCACTCCATACTATCCCCAAGGCAATGGCCAAGCGGTGGCAATTAACAAAAGTTTGCTAAGGATTTTGAGTAAGATGGTCCATGAGTATGAAAGAGGATGGAGAATTCATTTGCAGATACTCTTTGGGCTCATCGGACATCATCCAAGAGCGCCATAGGTTTCTCACCTTATTTTCTAGTATATGATTGTGATGCTATCCTTCCTTCTAAAGTCTTAGTGCCAATTGCACGCACCTTGGCTGCATCTAAATTAGATAGCAATGCTGATATTTATGGCCAGAAGCGAATTGAAGACTTGGAATTTGTAGAAGCACTTTGCCAGATGGCATAAGAAAAGGCTCAAAAATATTAAGCCAAGATGACAAATTCATATAACCGTGCAATCAAAGCTAGAATTTTAACAATTGGACAATTGGTCCTCAAAGCCTCTGACCATGTGAGGAAGAACATCGCTGGACCATCCAATTATGCTACCAACTAGGACGGTCTTTTCATTGTCATGGAAGCACATGACAGCGTATATTATTGTCTCAAAAGTCATAGGGGAGAATCACTATCTGATCCTGTGAATACTAACTGGTTCAAGCCATATATTGCTAAGCTTCGCTAACATCATCTGTTTTGTAATTTTGTTTCTAGCGCTATCATTTATTCCAACCAAGGGAATTAATTTCATCCATGTTGTATTATCAGATGTAAGGCACAATAACATGCCCTTATTATATTTGGCACTTTATGTCTCAATCTGTTTATATGCCTCTTATTTTGCTCTATCACTGTGAACGGACAAGGAGTGTTAAAAAAAAAAAAGAAAAAAAAAAAAGAGAGAAGAAAGTGAGTCATGTAATATGATCATAAAGAAACCTCCCTGATCCACTTCTTTAGCACAAATCTATCTATCCAAATGCCATGCTTAAAACAATAGAGATACGAGCAAGAAAGTAAACAAACAATAGGGCCTAGACTCAGCTGGAAGCAAGGATGCTCAACCTAGAGCAAACATAAATAAAGGGTTACATCATGGCAGCATTGCCAGCAGTCAACATACAACAAAGGAAAAAGAATAAAAGATGAAGAGAAAATTAGGACATGCAACCAATTCATGGCAGAAAAAGGCTAGGCTCATCTCCAAAAGCCTTGGCAACCTCAATGCAGATCTGGCAATGCTCGGCTACACCATTGGAATTCATACGCTCCTTTTCTTGATTAAGTGATCCTAGATATGCTTTGGCTGACACAAATCCTTCTTCCAACTTGAAGATAAGCTCTTTTGTCTCAACCAAAGACTTCTCCATCTCTTCGATATGCTTTCCTTGCTCCTTAATCCACTCATCCAAGCTCTCAGCCATGTCACCTCTGGCGATGCCAAACTCAGTCTTTTGAGGCATGCCTTTGCTAAATTTGACAAATGTGTGTGAATGGCATTGACTTCAAGGTTTATACTTTTAGCATCATCAATGGCATCCCTACACAAATAGAAGAAACCTTCGTTCATTTCACAAAAGGGGTTACCTCCATATGTCGCATAATTGCACAAAGGATTGAGAAGGTGTCCTCGACCACCACTTTCTCAACTTTGCTGTGCATCGTCAGATTTGGAAAGATGTCTAACAGATGGTGTGCCCACGGTTCCAACATTACAGGCACTGTGAACTTACCCATTGCTCGTGATCCACCCACAGGCACTAAGTCGAATCGAGCTAGTGAGACATCTTTGTCCTCGTTCATCTCATCAAGATTTTTGAGCAGCCTTATGGCCAAGTCATTGATCTCACCTGACTTAGCTAGAGTTGAGGATGCCTGACCACTATGCTCAACCTCACCGGGGCTGGCAGCCTTCTTTGCTGAGCTCATGGCTAGCGTGCTAGCATCCACTTTGCTTTTACTAGAAATGGATTTCTTTGTAGCATCACCCACATCTGATTTGAATTCTTCGGGGGCAGTCGTGCTTATGTCAATGCTGCCTTGGAAACCTGCGTCTTTGCCTCTCTATTTGGAACTATTCTCACTTTTAGACAAGGCATTGTCAGCACTTGATTTGTTGTTGCTGCTTTTGCTGGAATCAGAGCTGATTACCTCAGTGCCCTTCTTCCCTTTTTCTCTACTAACACCGACTACAATCTTGGCCTTGCCCTTTTAAACACCTAGTGAAGTGAACGGGAACACAATTGATCAACAAAGAAATATGCTATTTGATCAAGCAGTTCATTGAAACCTAAACTATTTCATTAAATGGTTTTAAGTACCTTTCTCATCGGTGGTAGCAACAGTTTTCCTTTTCAATATAAATCCCCTGGGAACTAATTCAAATCACCAGCCCTAAAATGAGGTAGTTCACTAATGGGACACAACTGTGCATAAAGAGAAAGAAGTTAGCCCAAGTTAATGATTTCATCCCAACAATTATCAAGAACAGTTTCCAGCTCGTATGGAGATGCAGAGGCTCATACTTTCAATACTGTCGCTTCTAGTTGAGTCTTTGCTATTTCAGGCTTCTTCGCCATATTGGGGGTGCCATATGAGACCTTCACACCCCCCTAGCCTGTAGTAGAATAGAAGGGGGCTTAGCAAGCATGTTTTAGCATTTCTCAAGAAAAAAAAAAGAAAAAGAAAAATCTCTCAATTACAAAAGGTAAGGGACGAATCCAAATGGCTTACCATAGTAGGCTTTGTGGTGGAGCTGAGATAGCTTTAGCCTTCTTCACTGACTCAGCTATGAAGGATGCAAGGTCACCCCAATCAATGATAGAGTCAACAACACTAAGTATGTTGTCAGAAAGCAGAGGCTCACCTATTTTGCTAGCCAAAATTTTTTTGATGAACTTAAGGATTTGCCAAGGCTTTTTCCATCTTCACCGCCAAGGCTTCCACCCTTTTAGCCTCTTCAAATTTGGATAGAACTTTATCATCACCAAGGATGGGAATAGGACCAAAGCCTTTGTTTGAAGCTGCCAACTGTTCATGCAAACATTAAGCCACATGTCAGAGAATCTTTAGTGAGGTCAACAACGATCAAAAGGAACGTAAATGAAAGGCCTAATAGTACACTTACTAGGAATGAGGCACTCGAATCGTAGTACTTCTCACCCAAGTGCTTATTGTCGCAAATGAGTCTTAACCTTTTGATTCGCTTGATTACCTCGGGATCTGGATCACCCTAGGAGCATTCATTGCTATCACTATCCTTACTTGTCTCCTTCTCCTTGATAATCCTTACCTTGGAGGGTGTGGGTACTTTAGCCTTCCTTTGTTTGCTGGTTGGCGAAGTAAAAGTCCTATGTGCTTTAGTTTTAGGCGGATGAGCAACGCTTTTCCTCTTGCCCAAAACTGGTCTCTATGAAGAAGCAGCTTTGCTAACTCCTCCTACAACATCATAAGAAAAACACAAAACCATAGAACATTTTTTAGCATCGATTTAGTCTGGCCAAGTCTCAAAACGAAAGAAGAACCAAAGTTTAAGATAAGAGTATGAAAGTGTGCTTAGTCACAACTCCAGCATCACCAGCTACCTCTTGCTTGAGTTCTTCACCAGTAGTGGCAACATGATCATATTCTTCCTCCACAATGCCAGGAATAGGCGGACAGACGAGTAACCATTGTCCATTGTCCTCCCTTGTCAAAAACCCCCAAGAATGTTTGTTGCAGTAAATCAAGAAAGAATTGTTATGGGTGAAAAGACGTTCACAATCCTGAGAAGCAAGATCATACACCACTTTTGGCAATGATTGAATAAAAGCCGTAAACTTTTTTAGCAATGTTTCCCAATATTCCAACATCAGTGACGACATGATCGACATCCTGGCAACACTAAAAAATCTAAGTGTGGCAATGCCTTCACTTCACATGGCTATGGCAGCCCATCAATATAGGGTTGCATGGCCTTATTCCAAATTGTCCTATACGAAGGAAAAGCAAGAGGGATATCCTAGTCATAGCCAAACTGCCTCATGACTCTCTCTGGACAGTAGCACTCTAGACTCCATGTCCCCAACCATGTAATGCACGGCAACATGGATGGTGTGATCACTGCCTGCATCTCTAAATGGCTTGAATCTCCCATAGTAAAATCTATGACTTGGTTTCCAAGCACTGCTGGGAGTGCCTTGTCAAAAAAGCTCACTTCAGGTGCAGCAAATGTCCTTGGCATCGTCTTGTATGCTTGGATATTAAAGCTGCCATAGTTGTCCAAAAGGCCATCAACTTCCAGAATTACCTACCCCTTTACCATCCTTTTCCCTATCGAGGAGCAGGCCAACGGAGCTGTCCCACTGGTGTAACCACACTTTGCCATGGGATATTCCTTCAATGCCTTCCCGCTAGTGACACGGCCAAGGTCGTACAGGTGAAATCTCTCCCATTCAAACATTTGTAGCAAAGACAAACACACATGTGATTCAATGATGTAATAGCTAGCACTAAGAATCTCTTCAAAGTGGAGCAAGTCAAGCATGTGATAAAGCATACCTAGCATTAGTAAAGCTAAAGGAAGTTTCACACCTTTGGCCAATCGAATTGCTAGAGGAATTCACTTAGCCATAATTTCATGGTCGGGAAACCCCCGAAGGTAAACTTACTCAAACAGGTTGTAAGGAAAGCTGCCCACACGTATGGAGTATCCTTACCTTTGCCAGTTTGAAAGTACCACATCTAAGTCGAAAAATCAATGTTGTTCTTTCCCCTCCAAGAATGAGAAGAGGTATTAGCGTTCTTCTTCATGACCTTTTTCAAAGCCACCTATGTGGCACGCTTTTCTGGCGTTAACGTTATGTGCCGTGGATCCTCTTCCCCAACAATAGGTAACAACATCAGGTTTGCCACATCTTCTAAAGTCACGGTGACTTCCCTGAAAATGAGGATGAAAGTATGAGTGCTCGTACACCATCTTTGCACCAAATGACGGAGGCACTTCACACTGCCACTAATCTGCTAAGTCTGACTTAGAGCCACTGACTTAAGAGTCCCCATGGCATGCAATATCTCCACAAAGCCATTCTCAGAAAGCATCTCCTTAACCCAACCCGACCAATCTTCCATCTTGCCGAACGGGAAGGCAAAGTGAATTGGTACTGGTAACGAGTCTCGTCTTTCAAGCCTCGCTCACATTACGTCACATAGGGAAGGAAACCATGTTGCACCAATGTCACCCCCTTTGAAAGCCTCAAGCAAAATTAGATCTTTCTGCTTCTCAAACGCCCTTTTTGCTGACCAAGCGTTGAATTCCAAGAAGCCATCTTGGAAAGTGTACCATCGGTCATGGTACAACTGCACTCCATTGGTCGAATAAGGATCAGCCATCCCCCAAAACTTTCTTCAGGAGGAAAAAAGGAAGCAAAATAGAGATTTAAATTAATGAAGGCATGAGAAATCTGCAGCATGCAATAAAAAAAAAAAATGCAGTAGAAAGACAGAGATTCATGTTACCTCGGTTAGAAGAAGGACCTTGTCAAATTTGCACACTCAATCAACCTCCTCAAAAAAAGATCTGATCACTTTGTTGGGAAACCAAGGAGTTTCATGAAGAAGATGATGAAAATTAGAGGTGTAGTAGAAAGAAAGAAAGGTTCAACGGTTTTGTGAAAAAGAAGAAGGGGGAAAATTGAAAAGCTTATTGAGGAACAAGGAGAATGGCAAAAAGGGAAATTAAGGGCAGCATTAAGTTCACCAGCCAACCACTTTGCCACTTTTCGCGCATCAGTATAACCAGAAATTATCAGAGAGGCGGCAAGTAAGGTGAACATTATCTTAATGCATATGCATGCATGCAATCTCCTTTAAAATCTCCCCTTTTTATGCACCATCATAATGAGATTTTTTTGGGAAGATTTAGTTTCTTTATTTTTCAGAAGGGGGAGTTACTTTTTCGCTCTAACTGCTGAAAACTTCCCTAGGGAATAGTTTTGAATTGTTCTTCAGATTTGAACTGCACATGAATATGACCAAAAAAAATGGAGGGGGAAATTTTTCTATTGCTCAAAACGTATTATTTTTCTAAGAAGAAAAGTAGTGCAGCATGTGTAGGAATCCTGACGAAGATGCGACTGAGAGCTTGTTCACTAGACTCATATTTACACAGGTTAGAATCACTATTGAGTACTCTCTGAATCACACTCAAGCTTTCTTAGAAGATTATTTTGGTGAAATTTGCAAAGGGTTCAGCCAAGCACAAGAATAATTTTGCCTGTTTAAAGTAATTTTATGAATATTTCATGGGTCCTATTTATACTGCCTGTCATCTTGGTTGATCTTGGTTTTGCTTTACACATATTCAAGATTTGCCACTCCCAACAACCCTGGAGTTTTTAACCAAGTTTTACTTCAGCCTTACTTGGTTCATATTGTTGAGACTTCGCCAGCAACATCGAAACCCACGATATTCTCACTCTGGGTGTGTTTGATTAAATTTGTATCAAAACCTTACCAACAGCCCAGATTTCCCAGGTTGGTATCTTGGTCTTATTCATCAACAATAGCCAAATCATATTGGACTCACCTATACTTACTGCTATTTTTTCATAGCTGAGTTTAGTACAATCTTGCCTCTGTCAAAGTTAGTTCATCATCAACAGCTTACTTGGCTGGAACTAAGTCCTAGTAATCCTAAGTCTATCAAATCACGTCTACTAACAGAAGGGTCCACATTAATTATTTGATTTCTATATTATCTCCTCATGCTCAAGATCATATGGAGAATTTGCCGGTAATTTGCCTCCCTCAATGCCAAGTGGCCAAACTTCTTGTAACAACTTTGCCTATTTGGGGGGCTAATGTTGAGGGATGAATTTGTATGGCTATGGAACCAATGACATATATGGGTCCACGTCAGCAAAGGCCCATAGAACTTATTTTCCATGTCGAACACACAATTCCTATTTTTTACTAATTACTGGAATGGATCAATATCGCCAAAAATGGCACTTACTAACTTCATTGGAAACATTGCAAGATGTAGCCCATTCCAACATCTACTTCTATATATATGGCCAGACATGGCTAGATCTATTTCAGCAACATGGTTGGACATTTTTGATGGTCATGTCCTCTACAGCAATACTCATCGCTGCATCTTGTGGCTTCGAACAATGGATAAAGAACTGACTGTGCTATACATATATGGCTCCCATCAACAAACAATGAGCCACATCTACATAGCTCTCGGCGATGGACAAAGGGCCAAATTTAATATCTCATCTAGCCTCCAGCAATGGACAAAAGGGTTACACATTTCTACATATTCTCATTACACTGGTTCTCGACGATAGACAAAGAGTCAGATCTCTATATATTTTATGACACTGGCTCTCGAAAATAGACAAAGAGTCAGCACAACTCGGTACGATAAGCGTGAGGCCGGTAACAGTTGCAACTTTACGATCGGACGGGATGGCTACCCTTTAGCGATAAAAATCCATCAAGTAATGGCCGACAATCTCTTGGTGGTTGGCTGCGCATAGTGGTGCGATGCCTAGTGGGCAATAATAACTAGAACCATCCTCTGACAATTTGGGTACGGTAAGAAGGGCCAGCATTTGTCAGTGGTATCACACCTATCGTATCGAAGGTCATAGATGCGACTAGCGTCCCTCTTCTATGGAGACAACTCCACCTCTCTCCATCTCATAATCATCGCTATGGTGGAGTCTGGTTTAGTGAGATTTACCCTTTCGCAACTTGGCGGCTTAATGGGAATGCTCTTCTGATTCCCCATAGTTCACGCTCTAGCCATGGACAAAGTTAGCCACTTTGGTCTCTCTAGCTATAAGGAAGTTATTCATGGCTAACCCTACAATACTTATAAAACATGATCAGCGATTATGCACATTATCATTCTTTTATACAAAGGGACAAAATTATTGGTCATCGATAATCACAACTCATAACACATAATTTCTATATTTTGCATGGTAGTAGGTATTACCGACCAACGATGTTTGGCTCGGGTCAACGATATCGCAGCACACCCATATCAGTTGTTCTTTACCCTAGCGTAATGCCAGCCATGTACAACAACGATATACTAGCATTCGTCATAGCCAACAAACAATAGAGCACAACGAATATCCATACACATCATCCCCTTCAATACACAAGGGAGTTCCCTTCTTCGCTGCATGTATTTATATATTTCTTACACTTAAATACTTGAACATATATTCACATGTGCCTTGTTGTCATTGCAGATAAACACATGCCCATGAATCCAAGCTCGTGGGAATTGCTCGGGATAAACTATGGGAGTAATGACTTTGTAGGCATGGATTGGTGAATATTGCCCATTTGGTGAAGCAAGGCATTCACACTAGTGAAGCTTGACACTGGCAATGTTGCCCGACATCGCTTGAAGGGGCTGGGTGGCAAAGACATGGAAGTAAACTTGACTCCCAAAATAGTACCCTTTAATGCTAACTAGAGGCTTGAAATCCCATTAAAAACCAACTAGACATGCTGTTTTGGTCACCATCAACAACTTGCAACCACATTCAATGCAAAGGCTGTTGCATAAGTTCCATGGCCTTGAAAACTGTTGAAAAAGATTGTCTTTTGCTTGGAAAATCTTCCAAAATCTCGTGTAGAGCTTGGGGTACCCATGAAATCCTGTGCAAGTGTTGTTTTTGTCGGTTGCACTCAAGCACCTCCCAAAAAATGGAATTTCATATGGCTAGAGGAATTTCCAAAAATAGGTAGTTTCCAGTCCATCGCTGAAACCAGCGAAGCTTCGTTGGAACCACTGGTAATTCATGATACACTGTCAAAAGGCTGTCAACAACATCCAAAGCCACTCAAAGCTTGACAGCTCACCTAAACCCACCTATACACCTCTGACCCACTAACAAAAAATTACAAAAATGCCATTACCCTTATATATATATTACTTTTCCTTCATTATTAAAAAGAGGAAGAACATATTTTCCATTGAAAAAATTGCCTCATCACGTACCAAACTTCTATTTTCCCCTTTGAAAACTTCGTCATCCTGAACCTACCACCCTACGCACCAAAGTTGCCCAAAAATCACCATTTTCTTCACATTTCCTACACTTCCAACACTGCAGAATATTTTCCAAACTTGCAGAACATCATGGTTGGGAGACAGCATGCTATGGTTCTAGCTTCTGGGTAGTTTTTCTTGAGCATCAAAGGATCAAGCTGCAAGGTTAGCATCAAGAACGGGAGCGAGTATTCCACTCAAGGGCCCCCAAAGCAGTCATCCATCCTCATCTCATCAACACTTCTAAGTTTATCCCTTTTCATCCTTGAAAGAATCTCAGGAAGGGAGCCATTTCATCCTTCATCTTCAACATGAGGGTTGTTTGTTATAGAGTGAAGATATTCATTAGAAATGATAAACTTCACATTTCTTATCATTATTATTATGTCACAATGTTTTATGTATGAAGGTGATTCTTAAGTTGTAATCTTTGAACTTCATACATTTCTCATCTTTTTTGCCCCTTTAACAATGTACATCCTCTCCCCATTATTTTTGATAGTTGTGTAATCATCCTGAGTTCTTGAGCCTCCGTTATCGCTGTCTTGCTCTATCGACATCGCTAGAAGATTTATATTTTTTAACTTTGCTAGAGAGTTTGTTGTAGAACATCATCACTGGACAGAACAAGATGGCCCATAGCACATAGCCTTTTGCATGTGAGACGGGTATTGCCGAAAGAACCCTCCTCATTTCTTTTTACAGGTGGCATCCTAGTCAACCTCCACGTCATCTTCACTGTTGACTCATCATCCTACATCACTAGCACACCCCAACAATGTCAAAGGCCACCTTAATGGAAAAGTTTTCTACATTCCTACCAATGCATCACCATTTGATCACACTAAGACTCCTTCACTAAAGCTACTTTCTATGATGAGTTTGTTCCTCTTAATGAAGTGATAGTATCTCACCTAGTTGGCATCACTTTGCCAATATGAAATAACATCAAAAACAATCTTGATATTGATCTGTGAAGTGTCTTTGAGCATAAGAGGCAAAAGAAGAAGGCAACAAAGGCCTCCGAGCATGCCCAAAAGGCACTCGAACTGTCCTTCCTGATGGGAGGATCAAATATACTATATGAAGGTGTGTGAAGCCTCTCAGCCATACATGGGATGGTCTCATCAGTAGTAGTTTAGCCATGTCTTCTAATTGCACACTTATTGGTTCAAAGAAAAACACTCTGATTGATGAGCTAACTTTTTCTAGTGAAGTAGAATGTCTCACTCTTAAAGCTAAAAGTAAAATAATACTTTTTGAGCATTTAAAGCCTTTTAGCAAAGTTGATTATCTAACTCCACTAGACAAGCTGCTAACTCTCTACAAGGCTTAACTAGCACTTATTTCTCTAGAGTCTCTTAAAGCTATTGATCTTGGGGGCAATCCAACGAATCCCAAGCATGTACATATCAGCATTACTCTCTTTATTGAAGAAAAAGCTAGGATTATCAGCTTGCTTTAGGAATATAAAGATGTCTTTGCTTGGAATTATGATGAGATGCTAGGACTTGATCCAGCCGTGGTGGCACACTCTTTAAATGTTGATCTCAAAGCAAAGCTGGTTATGCAGCCAAATCATGCTTTCGATCTTGAAGTCACTATCAAAATTAAGGAAGAAGTTAAGAAACTCCTGGCTGCAGGATTCATTAAGCAAAACAAGAAGCCCACTTGGTTGGCCAACATTGTACCAGTTCAAAAGAAAAATGGGCAAATTAGGTGTTGTGTTAATTTCCGTGATCTCAATAAAGCATGCTCGAAGTATGAATTCTTTGTGCTAAACATGTATGTGTTTATGGATAACACCACTGGCTACGAGATGTATTCTCTTATGGATGGCAATAGTGGATATAACCAAGTCAGCATGTGCCCCAACGATGTAGTGAAAACTAGCTTTCACACTCTTGTCGGCAACTTTTATTATGTTGTTATGCCTTTTAGATTTAAAAATGCTGGGACTATTTATCAAAGAGTCAAGGTAGCTATTTTTCATGATTTCATCTGTATTTATATTGAGATTTACATTGATGACATTATGGTGAAGTCTAAAATAAAGTTGGGCCACTTCGATGTGTTAAGAAAGGTCTTCAACAAATGTTGCCTGTACAAGCTAAAAGTGAACCCAATAAAGTGTGTTTCTAGCATCTCTATTGGAAAGTTTTCAACTTTCTTATGAACAAACATGGCATCAATGTGGATCCAACCAAGTCTGAGGCTATTCGAGCCAAACAACCTTCTACAAATCTTAAACAACTACAAAGCTTCATTGGAAAAGTCTCATACATCTGTAAATTCATCCCTTCATTAGCAAAAATTCTATCCATGTTCAATCTTTTACTAAAGAAAGGGGCCATCTTTATATGGATAAAGGAACATCGACATGCCTTTTTACACTTGCAAGATCTCATGCTTAGATTGCCAACCATATCTATCCCTACCCAAGGTAGGTCACTTAAAGTGTATTTATCCACTTCTGACAAGGTTGTGGGTACTCTAGTTGCCCAAGATAATCAAGAAGGCAAAGAACAACTTGTTTATTATGTCAATTGAAATCTTAAAGGTGCTAAGTCAAGGTACCCTCTCTTCAAGAAAATTTGTCTTGCATTAATTTATGTCTCTTAACACCTTTGAAATTATTTCTTGGCTCACAAAGTACAATTCATTACCAAGTTTCAACCCATTTGATATCTTCTAACTCAGCTTATACTTCCTAGTTGTTTTGCTAATTGGCTTCTTCAATTGTCTCAATATTAGATTACATGTATAAATCCTATTGTCATCAATGGACAAGATGTTGTGGAGTTGCTATCTAAATTTTTTGGTAGTGTCCAACATCTTATTTCTGACAAAGTCTCAGGTGGTGAGGTTGCTTCTGCACAAGAAATTGAAAAAGAATGCACATTGTATTTTGATGGCTTTTCTACAGCTAAAGGGGCTACGGCTACGGCTACGGCTACGGCTACGGCTATGGCTACGGCTGAGGCTAGCATTGTTCTTAGAGATGATAAAGGCCATGATATAGTATTTTCATTTAAGCTTGATTTTTTGTGCACAAACAACATGGCTAAGTACGAAGCAGATCTTATTGGTCACGTCATGGCTAGAGAAACTAGTGTGCAACACTGGAAAATCATTAGCGATTAAGGTTTGATTCTTGGCCAAATCCCAAGTACCTTTACCGTTCATAAAAACAACTTGCACCATATCTCTCTCTTAGCCAAAACTTGGAACAATCTTTCATCAACCTTAAATATGAGCAAGTACCACGGTCATAGAACAGGTTGGCTGATGCCTTAGCCATAATTGCTTCAAAGGTGCCCATAACCGAGAATCCTTTCAGTTTCCAAGTCATCCGAAATGAGCACCCAATTTATCATGGCCATGAATTTGTTCTACCCCAGCCGCCTAACCATGTTGACTTGCGATATGAGATTTGTAATGCTTTACTGCAACAAAGGCTTGATGTGCCTTTAAAGGACTTGTCTAGCTATGTTATCATTTCTTGTGAACTATACTATTGCCTCTCTAGCGGTCTCATAACTAGGTGCATCAGCAATGAAGAGGCTTATCACAAACTTAGAGAAATCCATGATTGCACATATGGCCAGGACAACTGTGCGAGCCTATACCATCGAATTCACCGAGTGAGGTATTATTGGCCAAACATGGCACACTAGGCCACTGAATTTCAGCAACAATGTGTATCTTGTCAGCAAACTTACTATTAAGGCAAGGAATGCCTCGTTGCTGATAGTGTTCAAGATTGGCACCATTCTTACATGGAGTATTTTGCTAAGGAAATATGGCCAGAGTCTCCAAAGGATGTGCACAACTAAAAGAGATCTTTGTCAAAATTTTTCATGGACAGTGGAGTTTTGTTTCACACTAGTTTCATTGATGAATTGCTTCGCTGCCTATCTTTGACAAAGTCCTAGAAGGTTATGGTGAAGATAAATGCAGAGGAATGTGATGAACATCAAGGATGGAGAAAGCTGTATGAGCAACTCTTGGCTCATGGCTACTACTGGCCAAGTATGAAACAAGACGTTGCAAATTTGTCTGGCAATGTCACACTTGATAGGTTTATGATAACCTTATTCATTCTCATCCTAATCTATTGCAAGATATGGAAACTCCTTAGCCTTTTCATGCTTGGGGTTCAAATCATATTGGCCTTGTTGACATCTGTGGCCAAAGGCCAATTGAGGACTTAGAATCCATCAAAGCACTTCACCAAACAGCACAAGAAAAGGCTAAAAAATATCAATCCAAGATGACAAATGCCTACAATCGTGCAGTCAAAGCTGGAGTTTTCACATTTGGCAAATGGTTCTCAAAGCCTCCGAACATGTGAGGAAGAACATTGCTGGCCTATCCAAGTTTGTTGCAAATTGGGACGACCCCTTCATCATTACAAAAGCACATAACAATGAGTACTATCATCTCAAAACTCACAAGGGAGAGTCATTACTAGACCCCATGAATGCCAAGTGGCTCAAGCCGTGCTATTGCTAGGCTTTGCCAACATCGCTCATTGATAAGTAAGCATTCTTCATTTTTTAATTTTACCTCTAGCAATGTGATTTATTCTACTAAAAAGGGTTGATTCTATCTATCTTTTGCCATCATGTGTATAGTGCATGTAGCACTTTCTTGTTATATTTAGCATTTCATATATCAACCTACTTGTATTCCATTCATCTTGCTTTATCGCTACGTAAGGACAGGGAACGTTGACACAAAAAAAAAAAGGGTGCATAACGCAAAAGTATATATATATAAAAAAAGAACCATGCAAAATGATTATAAAATAACCTCCCGAATCCACATTTTATCATATGTAAATAGCATAACTATATTTGTCTAGGTGCCATACTTGGGACACTAGAAAATCAAGAGTTATGAAAAAAGCAAGCAAACAAGCAACAAAGTCTAGACTTTGCTAGACATAAAGATGTTTAACTTAAAACAAACATAACAAGAAGGTTACATCATGGTGATATTGCCAACAATCATCACACTACAAAAGAAGAATAAAAGACAGGGAGAAGGCTGGGGTATATGGCTGCTCATGGCTAGAAAGGACCAGGCTCATCTCTATAAGCTTGAGAATTTTCAATGGAAGTTTGGCGAAGCTAACTAATATTGTTGGAACCTAAGTGCTTCTTTTCTTGGTTAAGCAATTCCAAGTATGCCTTGGTTGACTTTAGTCTTTCTTCCAACTTAAGGATGAGCTCCTTTGTCTCAGCTAAGGACTTCTCCATCTCTTTGACTACTTTGCTTGCTCCTTTATTCGCTCATCCAAGTTCTCCACCATGTCACCTCCAACCATGTCGAACTCACCCTTGGTAAGGTACACCTTTGCCAAATTTAATAGGTGTGCTCGACTAATGCCAACTTTGAAGTTTATTCTCTCAGCATCATCAATGGCGTCCTTACACAAATAAAAGAAGTCATTCATTTGGGCGAAAGAGGTTACCTTCATTTGTCGCATGGCTGCACAAAGCACCAAGCTTCGCTGGCGCAAATACCTCACTTCACTAGATAGGCAATGTTCATCCATCCATGCCTACCAAACCACTACTCCCATAGATTATCCCAAATAATCCCCATGAGATTGGATTCATGGGTTCATTGATGACCTGCATGTAGAAATAGTGATCAATTGATGAAAATGATGAGATTTAATAAATAAGGAAATAATAAAGGAAAAGGACTTCCTTATTTCTGTCGATGCTGTTGAGCCTAACCATGTATTATAACATCAAATATTGATGGGCCTTTTAGTAAATGCATGTTGAAGGCATTACTAGGCACTTAGATCAAGGCAGGTCTTTGTGACATGGAAACTACCCGAGTCCAAGTTTGACCTTTTACAAAAACATCCATCAACATTAGCCCCCCAAGCGTGGAGAGTTATGACAACAAGTCTTTGCACTTGTAGATAAATATGTCCAAGCTTTGCTAAATATTGGATGAGTTTGATGTTGTTTAGTAATATCTTTATTATGTGACAAGTTGAAGAAATATGGCTATACTTTCGCTAGCCTTGGGAGATTGACTTCGCCAAAGAATAGACCAACCTTATGTTGCAAAAATGATGATGATAATAATAAAAAGAGTGATTGCTTGTAAAACTCTCACTCAGCAGCTTGGTTAAGCTTGTAAAGAATTTTCCTCCATTAGAGGATGAAAACGTCGAGCATTATTCATAACCATGTTGCTATAGATAAGTTACATGTTTTGTGTCTTCATGGCTGGAAAATACTGGTTGCTATGCATAAGCTTTGTCACGAAAATTTTAATAAAGATGAGCTGATGAGAAGCTTGACACTTAGGAGTACTCGTTGAGCCAATTTTAAGGAAGATAACATTTTGATGAAAATTGAGCAAATAGTTGAAGTTGCAATGTTGGAGATGAACATTCAACGACTTTTTTGGAAAGTAATACTGTCAATATAATCTTCTTGCCATGTGAATTTTCTAAATCTCCCATGTGTGTGCTCATCAAGCAAGTATTTACAATTCTTCATCTTTTCTTGTGACTAGACATTAAGAAGTTGTTTGGCAAAGATAAATGACTTAAATAATGATGGAGACATAGCAATAAGCTACAAGCTATTGAATTTGTAGTAGAATGCTCCATCCAAGTGAAATATGATGATGTGAAGTGTTGTAATAACCGTCCATCTAAGGAATGTGAGAACCAGCAATGATGGATATCTTGTTCAAGAGATAAAGTGTAATATCCCAAATTTTCGGGAATATTTAAGTGTAAGTTAAGGATTAAATTGTGAGAAAATATTGTTTTGGGCCTAATAGCCAACATTCCCAAAATCGAGGGACTTAAAAGAGGAGAATTTGGATAAGGATGGCTTATTTCTTTTCTCCCTTTTCCTCTTTCTTCTCCAACCCGTTTCTGCTCTTGTCTTCCCGCTACAACCCGAGAGGAAAAAAAGAAAGGGGAACCCAGCCATGCTTTGAGAAACCGGTGAGAAAGCTCGGAGATTTCTCCTTTCTTCTTGCTCTAGAACACACCTAGAACCCAGAAATCCTTCTTCCCCTGCTGGAAAATCCAGATCTGCTCTGTTCTTCCTTCCTCACCGTCGGCTGCTCCTGCTTTGTGAGGGCTAATTTCTCTGATTTTGGGTAAGAAATAGCCATGAATCTCCCTTCTCTTGCTTGAATTGGCTTGGGTTAACTTTGATTGCTCTTATTTCCTTCAATTTTTGGGTAAACCCATGAGCTTTCCCTGCAGCTTGCCGCCGGCCTTCTTTCCCCTGCCATGTCCGGTTTCTGCAGCTGTAAATTATGGTATGTGACAGCCTTTTAAGGCTTAAATTGTCCATTTAGTTTGCTGCTTTGTGTGTCCGAATTTTGCTAGAAAAATGGGGGAAATTCCGGTAGCAATTAAGAGGGATTTAAGTGTGTTTTGTTGCTTAATTCAAGTGAGATTTATGTGATTGAGTGTTAATTGCTTGTTGTGATTTTTGGAGGAAAATCCCGTGAGATTAGTTAGTGTTTTGGCCAATTTGTGGGAGTGGAGTTACTGTTCATGTCGGGGTACTGTTCACCGGCACTGTTCACCTGTTACTGTTCACACCCCGAGGGCCAACATTTAACGGGGATTTAAATGATTAGTTTGTGATATAAGAACGAATTTGAAGATGTCCGATCATGTGGAAAGTGATAGAAATAGCATTGTGATTAGGAATGATCCTAATGATGATTTCAGCTTAAATTTGTGATAGTTCGATATTAATTCTCGGATGTTTTGATTAGGTTCTTGATCGTTCTGTCAGTTAATACTGAAATTGAGTGCTCGGTTTTATGCAAGTGAGGTAAGTAAATTTATGGTAATGCCCGTACTGTTTTAAAAGCATGTTTTGATTTGTTTTTGAAGTGGTAGCGGGACTAAACCCGTTTTACACAAGTATGACTGATTTGAAGTGAAATGTTTTGTGCTTTTCATGAAATTGAGCATGCCTACTTGAAATTTAAGTGACTGTCCTGATGATTTGAAAGTGATTGTGAATCGTGATTTTTCTGTTAACTTCTGCCTGTTTTGTCTCCGATATGGTCATGTTATTCGTGTGCCCGCTAGTGGGAGGTTTATAAACGCTAGCACATGTCGACATGTTACTGATAGAACCGGTTCGTTTCTGTAACCCTACTAGTGGGGGTTAAACACTAGTAATTTCTGTAGCCTGTCAGTGGGAGGTTTATAACATTGGCCGTGACCTATAGAGGAGACGTCTATTTCGTTCCCGTACTATATCCGTTTTGCGTGATTGCACATGTGGCATGCTATAAGTTTAAATAAGGGGCACTCCATATTTACTTACTGAGTTTATCTCATGGTTTTCCTTGTCCACCATTTCAGGAAATGAAACCGAGAACGGGGAAACCACGGGAAGTGACGAGTTAGAAGGCTAGCCATATTGTAATTAGATATAAATTTTAGATATGAATCATGATCTTGTATTTGGAGATTTTATGATATCAGAGAGAATTTTATAATTTGATCTTTAGATTTTGGTGGTATCAGAGTGTGATATGTTAAGTTCCGAGCCTTGTGCATTTGTGGGACCCGTCTCACGAGTGCACGGCGTCTGCCACGTCCCCGGATTTGGGTTCTGGGGCGTGACATAAAGTAAAGATGAAGACTATCCATAGCCTTGTTATAACTATAGGTCAAGACCAACAAGCTTCGTTGAGCCCTCCTTTTGCTAGAGAAGATAAAATGATGATGAAGATGAAATGAGCACACATATGTTGATGTACTCATAATGGACCCAATATGTTGAAGAAGACTTCCTATCCAAGATAGAGTATTCCAACAAAGATAGACTTCCAGTCCAAGATGGAGTATTCCAACAAAGATGGATCTTTTGATCAAGATAGAGTATTCCAGCAAAGATGAATCTTCTGATTGAGATAGAGTATTCCAGCAAAGATGGACCTTTTGTCCAAGATAGAGTATTCCAACAAAGATGGACCTTCTGTCCAAGTAATGTAGTAAATAAGTCATAATTGATGAAATCTATCCATGTGAGCCTTCTAGGCCTTGATAATGTTCTTCTTCATGATAGACTATTGAAGATGTATCAATATGTAATTGTGTGTGCATGATCGATAGCCATGTTGAATATCGCTGAGTTCGCCAGAGAGCTTTGTTGACCTCCCTCATGCATAAAAAGAGAAGATGTGAGTATTCATTGTTGTGCCTCTTTGTCCATTTGTCATGGGAAGCAGTTGTATAGCATTGTTGTGTATGTTTGGCATTGCACCAAAATAAAGAATGAGTAATATGGATGTGTTTTGTGATATTGTTGTCTTAAACCAAGCATTGCTATTTGGTGATACCTATTAACACATAAAATATAGAAGAGATATGTTATGGATCGAGATTACTAGTGATCGGTAATTTTGTCCCTTTGTATAGAAGTATGATTATGCGCATGACCCTCGGCTATGTTGTATAAGTATTGTAGGGTCAACCATGAATAGCCTTTCCATAGCCAGAGGGACAACAATGGCTAACTTTGTTCATGGCTAAAGTATGAATTATGTGGAATCAGAAAAACATTCCCACTAATCTGCCAAGTCATGAAAGGGTAAATCTCATCAAGCTAGACTTCGCCACAGTGATGAATATGTCATAGAGATAGATGGAGTTGTCTCCATGGAAGGAGGAAACCAACTGTGTCCATGGCCTCCGATATGACAAAGTGTGATACCATTAACAAACGCTGGCTTTTCTTGCCGTACCTGCATCGTCAGAGGGTGGTCTTGGTTGTTGTTACTTGCTAAGTGTCGCACCACCATGCACAATCGACCACCAAGGGCCGATCGATTACTACTTGATGGATTTTTATCGTTGGAGGCAGTGTTTTGAAAATCGACCCAAAGATCAAACTATTTTGACTTTCGGGTCTCGGTTTGACCAGTTTAATCGGTTAAACCATGAAAACCGTCAGTTCAATTGGATGTCAATAAATATAATGTTGTGCAGCATTTGACAATTACCTTCCAATAGTTCCAGTGGTGTGTTGTCTCATCTCTCAAGATGAGAATGGGGTTCGAACCCAAGAGTTGATGAATTTTGATTAATATGTTTTTAACATGTAACTTATAAATGTCAATTTATAAATTAATTAATTAATTAAAATTATCTATATAAATGTCTAAATTTTATAATTTTTATATAAATTAATTAAAAATAAATATAAAAATTTATATTATTATATTTTAAACTTT